CATAGCGTTCACCCTATACTTCACTGACATTGTCTGTGTTTGCACGTTGTTGAATGGAGGTTCGATAAGTGAAGAGCAAAATCTCGCTCACCAGATCAGTTAAGAAATCACTCCCGTAAAGGATGAGGGCAATTTTCTCTTAAAGCAGATTAAGGGTTGACCATTTGAAATGGGAAAGGGAAGTTCGAGGGGAAAACTTTCCACGTTCACACATGTACAGAACATTTTATTTACAATTTTGTTTTTGAATATAGCGGTAAATGTACTTAATGCCATTTTTATTTAATCAACTTTCGAATAAAAGTATTAAAAGTAGCTGGAATCTTCTGCTCACCCCATTTAGTTCAAGACAAGTGTTCTTATGTTTCAAGGGGAAATTTTGCTCATTATTTACAATGAGAATTACTTATCTGATTTGGTGAACAAATTCTGCTGACGTGCAAAATTTTATTCACCAAATTTTGTGAGGCCTTTAGTTTGCAAACATTCTTATTCACCATGGCGATTAAATTCAATCAATAGCAAAAAAAAATAAATATCAAATTGGCAAGCAAAGCAAATCTGACGAAAAAACTTTGTAACAGATTATACAGCTTGACAATCCACGTTTTAACACTTTACACAAACGCATTTCATTATCTGCCATATTTCATTATTTAATTCAACAATAGCTGAATATTTTGTAATTCTCAGTGAAATGCCATGCAGTTTGCAGCAGAGTGGTGTGATTGAAGTGGATCTCATCCTGTCAGTAAATCTGTGTCTGCCGAGAATGATACAAAGGACATCAATGAAAGTTGGAACATTGGATCCCCAACAATTGTGATCCTCACACAGCAGAACTATACATATTTCATGTATTCAATTCCCTCAGCACACTGGAGTCCTTTCTAAGCTTTCTTTGATTTTTTTAATTTTGATGCTGTTTGAAAAAATGAATAAGTAAAGAAATAGAGAAATAACCAGTACATTGATAACAATGTTTCTTTTAGTACCAGGTAATAGTACTGGCATTTTTTATTTGTTTTTTCAGGGAACAAAATAAAAGTAATTGCTATGGGTACTGGCTCCAAGTGTATTGGAAAAAGCAAAATGAGTGAAAAGGGTAAGTCGTAATAAATGGCTTTTATATTCACATCATGTTCAAATTTACATTTATTTCCAATTATTATTGAAAAATCAACATAGTATTGAAGTTTGCTGAATTTAATAGGCGGATATGTGTATATTTTTGGCCATGGATATGTATATTGTCTTTTATCACATGTCATTACAGGCAGTGTTATAAATGATAGCCATGCTGAAGTGATTGCCAGAAGATCATTTATCAGGTGAGCTCACAACCAAGTCCCTCTTCAAGGAGGAACTATTGTATCCAAATACAGTACCTCCACAAAGGAGGACTAGTGTGTCTAAAAATATTTCCTCTGCATAGAGGGACTAGTGTGACTGAATACAATCCCTCCCCAAAAAGGGATGAGTAGGTGTTTGAATTCTGTTTTGGGTATGTGCTAACCACAACTATGGGTTACCTATGTAATATATAATAATTTCTCAGATGATAACAGAAGTAAAATAATTGTCTTATAAATTCAAAAAGGAAGGACCTAATGGTGATATGGAACCCAGCTCAAGAGTTGTGTGTGTGTCTCAGATTAATCTTGAAGGAAATTACTTTACATCGAATTCTGATTCTGGAATATTTTCAATCATTGAATAGAAAATCCTACGTGTGATTTGGTAGTTTGATGACATCGTAAGATGCTGAAAACTCACAACTGAATGCATGGAATTGCTCAGTGATGTTTTTGTTAGGCCGATATTTTGCATTTATTTCAGTACACATATTACTCTACATGTGAAAGACTTCAAACCAAATTTTCAGTATGTTAATATTTGAGAAAGATGAATACTCGTAATGAACTCATCACAAAAATATTAGCGATGATACTAGAAAAAAATTGCTTCTTGTCCTGAGATGTTCCTAACAAATGATGTGGTGATGTGCCCTTTTATTGTTGTTTTTTTGGGCAATTTTTTTTTACACTTTCACAGAATTTTTGCAGAAAAAAAAAGAAGTTGTGAGCAGTCTCTTTTGAACTTGAAATTTTATTACAGGTATCTATATCATGAATTAGGCAAAGTATATCGAGGTGATACAAGTGATGTTTTTACCAGTTTTGGTCTAGATGGAAGATGTCAAGTGAAAAATAATGTTGCATTTCATTTCTATACAAGTCATACCCCATGTAAGTATTAGTTTTTACTGTTTTATCAATTGATATTGACATGATTCTTAAAGTGACAGTCATCATAACTCGCATTACTTGTGTGCTGAATACAATACAGACTGTGTCAGACTTTGTAATAGTTGAAGGTTTTTTATGATGATAGCATACTATAATTTACAATCGTGAGCGTTTTTTAGCACCCAACAGCCATATTGCATACTGTGTATTCTCAGGAGTGAACATCACCGTCTGGCAACCAAAACCGTTGATTGTTGCTTAGTTGAGACTGTGCTGTTTTCTTGAATGCTTTCACCTGCTTTTCAACCAGCATTCCACAACAGCTCGCATTGAGCCTATAGGATGAAATTCAATACCTGTAAAATTACACTACATGCAAAATTACAAAAAGCAGTTATTGAGAATTATAATACTATGTGCTGCAGATTATTGAAATGGTGCATTCTTGTTGAACTGTTGGTACAATGTGCTGCCTTATCATTAAGTAACTAGGTAGCGTGGTCACTTAACATGCACACAAAACAAATTGTGTGTGAATAAAATATATTCAATGTGAGAATCATTTAAACAATGAACTCATTTTTTTCATTATCAAACTACATGTTGATGTAATTCACCTTGACCACATACTTACCTTAATAATTGTCTAATTTTTCCAGTCATCAAGGATTTGGAGCGAGGGAGTCGTCACCTGCACATGCAACAGATGGCCATAGCATGTTGTTGTTTACAAGTAAGCGTCTACCCATTTTAGCATAAAAGTATGTTGTTGTGTGTGCACAGGTGACGACCCTTTCGCTCTGTCATCACAGCAATGTCATGTGACACTTTTCAACTGCAACTCTCATTACATATTCATAAACCATATACTGACTTTGTGATACAATGTGATACAATGTGGTCTATCGGGGTTTACCGATCAATCAATGTCATGTTTTGCAAGTATGATGAGAAACACTCACATTTCATTTGAAACAAGAATCAAGTATCAAAACAGTAATGGTTTATCTAATATGACATCCAGGTGGAGATGCTTCTATCTTTCCAAAAGAGGATAACGAAGATGATATAAAATTAAAAAAGTCATCTAAGAGATGCAATGAAGACACAGAGACAATAGATGTAACAAAAAGAATCAAGATTTCCCAAAATGATGCAAGTCAATGTGGCACTTTGGAAAGATGTGAAAAAGAAGAAAAGTGCATAGAACTGGAAAATGTAGTGTGTGCTGAATCACAGAGGCGAGAAATGGATGTATGCTATGCAGGTCAAGGTGGAAATGGTAAACAAGGGGCAGGTAACCAAGGTAGCCAGGATTTAATTAGAATTGATATCGCTACACAGCGAGATACTATACCTTCATCGCCATGTGATATCCAGCGTGAAATGGATGTATTACCACTGGTGTCTGAGAAAAAGCATGTGACAAATGCTAAGGACATTTACCGAACTGGTGCCAAGTGCTTACCAGATGGGCCACAGGATCCGGGTACCAGTGGTGAAGGTTATCATCATGTTGGAATATTAAGAACCAAACCTGGACGAGGTGATCGAACGTTGTCGATGTCTTGTAGCGACAAGATTGCTAAGTGGAATGTTATTGGTTGCCAAGGTGCTCTGTTGTCCCATCTCTTAGTACAACCAGTTTATTTTGATACAATAACCGTTGGTTGGTAAGTTATAATTTGTATTTAGCCTTAAAGAGTAGGTCATGTGATCAAACACATGGATTATCATGTTATCTTACTTGAATGAATTCATAAATGACAATTATAATTTCCATTGTAATCTGCAGTTGTGTTTACAGTAAACCAGCCATGGAACGTGCTGTCATTACCCGCTGTGATGGAGTGTCTAACTTACCAAGGCTGTACAGAAAACATAGACCACGTTTGCTGTATTCAGACAAAGTGTTTCCTTCTAGTAAAGCTAGTATGGAGAGAAAACACAATAAATTGCTTGGAAAGCTCACACCATGTGGATCAGGTATGTACTTTTTTTGGCCATTTTATGGTTTGCCTCTCAGTGTATAAATTTCTCAGTTGATTTTAATAAAGAACATTGCTGCTAACATTTCATTTTACTCCGACCAATGAAAAGGATTTAGGCATGTGTAATTTAAATTAATTATAAATCTAAGTATTTTAGAATCCTGGAATCAAATTTACAAGCTGCTTTTATAGAGTTGCGTCGGGTACAACTTACATAATTATGAAATTTAATTGTTTTGGTATATTAACACCATGTCCATCAGTGCATCGGTATTTCAGGATTTGTGGCCATGCAAACCAATTAATTTTATAATTTTTCATGGTGATCACAAAAATCAGTGAAGTATGTTCTGCATTAAATTGGAAATACAACTTTAAGAAGCTTGTCAGTGATGTCATTAGATTTGGCAGTTTTTACAGTAAGTTATAGATTGAGATCGGCCTAGCCACTGTACATGTTAGAATACTAAACAAAAGGAATGTTGATTATGTTAATTTATAAATGCAAATTAGACTGGCAGTTCAGCATTCTATTTGAAGAACACTTAGTTATAGTGTGTTAGCTTAGTTTGCATAAATAATATCCCATAATATATTTTGTTATGATAAATTCCAGATGATGCACCTATATGTAGTATCAAGAATTTATAATCTGATGAAGATCTAATTCCACACATGCGTCACTCATTGAAACCAAAAAGTTAATATACACATGAAACAATTATGTCTTTCCTTTGTACCAAAATCTGTCAAAGAAAAATAGAACAAAATCATGGCATTACAAAATCAGTAATGGAACATCCAAGAAAGTGTTGAAGACACGTATAAATATCACTAACATGACGGCCATTTTGAATCAAATCACAACAAAATGATGTGGATCAGTAACCCACCAGGAGTGATGACAATACCAACTTTGAATGAAATTTGTTCTGGTCTACCTGATAAATGGTTGATGAGAATTTCAAATATCGCTTATTTTGTTTTTTAGGGACAAAAATGGCTGCCATTTGCATGATAAACAACAATGGAACAAAAAAACAAATTGCCATTGTATATATGCCATTGTGACTTGTTTTTTTTACCAATTTTGAACATTGTATGCATGCACGGGTGGAATCCATATCATAAAGTCCTGTTTTGAACTACTGTCTTACATCAACTAGAAATATGATCTCAGTTTTAACAAATAAATTTGACACTTCTACTTGTCTGTTCATAAGTTAGAAAAAATTAAAAATAATACAGTTGGAAAATTAAAAAAATCCATTTATTTCCTTCAGCTATAATTTGGTGCGATATTCCAAGAAATAATCTAGAAGTCTCAGTGAATGGTTTTAAGCAAGGTGTGATTGCAAAGTCACTGGACTCACCAAAAGCAAGGTACACTTCAATTTGATTAACATATTAAAATGTATTGTATTTCTATGTCATCTCAATTATCACATCATCTGCTGATGCTGTATTTTTACATCCAACTATTCCTTACTACTGTAAAAGGATTAATTATTCACTGCACTAAATTAAAGCCCAGTGAATATGTAAAATTTAGCATAGAACACATTATCTAAATGATAAAATCGTGAATTTAAAACCCATTGAAATGATAAATCAGTGTAATTGAAACCCTGTGAAAATTTGTCATTTTACTGTATTGCTTACGACAGGCGATGTGTTTAATAACTTTTGCCAGATACGTATTACAGAATGTACAAAAGGATATACTGACAAATTTTCAGGGATTTTTGTGCTGACAAAGGAGTAGATTTGTCTGGAGTCACCATTTTGGAGTGTGCATTTCTGCTGCAATCATGTCAAAATTATAATGCAACTTTGATGCAACAAGGTACCCCACACCAAATTCTATTGTCAATAAATGTGCCGGTGAATAACATTTTACAATGAAAGGACTACTGGCACAACAATCTCAACATAGCAACATTACTTGTACATTTATTTACAAATTTATAGTAGACATGCCTAGAAAACAGACAGAGGCAGCTGGCATATGCATAAAATTCATGGTAATTACATGTGCATGGTGCAAGCTCTTATAATCTCAGTAATATGAACATTGATTTTCAACCATCACACATTTGTAACGGTAGCAACTCTATTTATGTCTGGGGTATGAACTGTGAATTGTCAAATCAATGATTTTAATATTTGCACAGATGACCGATGCTTCATGCTGATTGAAACTCAAAGGAATGGATGTGTGGAATCAAGAGCTGTAGTGCATGCCTACATCAAGCATACATGTTTAAAGGATCAAGTGATAGTCTGCATAAATATTTCAACCGACTTTAGTTTTTTTGAGTACTACCGGTATACCACATACCGAAAACAATCCTGGCAGTGGGAAAAGCTACAAAAAATGCATTGGCAACTCTTCACGATCAGCAACACATGCACAATGTTACATTTTCTTTATGACTAGTTGTTACATGTCAGGTCAACTCTGTTTGGGTACATATGCTTTAGAGACGGCACTAATCAGATCTTTGCATTTTCCTGTGATAAAAACGCAACTTCTCGGTAGAACCAGGCTATGTTACATCAAGCATGCGAAACCTTGCATTTCAGATGAATCATTGGATAACAAAATCCAACTGAAATTTTTGCCAGCACTGTTATCTTGAACAAAAATGACCAATGTAGTTCGTACGTGTGGCAACGATCAATACCTGCTTCATAAAGTGAAGGCATAATTCTGTTATTTTGAATTACAATATCCTGCATTAATTTTTAGCAGAAAAAGAAACTTTACAAGGTATACACACACTTGGAACACTTATTAAAAAGTGTTATCAAAGGTAATTTGTACACACAATCAAATGAAGCCGAAATAATCACCAATGTTTTGATGCACTGAAAGGCAACAGAATGTGAATTTTTATTATATATTTTCAATAATTAGCACAAATTCAGACCATAAAATAATTTACATACTGGTAGTCAAGAATGCAACTTTAATGCTGTTATCTTTTGATATCTTAGATGCAGTGTTTGCAAAGCAGAAATGTTTTCCACATTCAAGTCATTAGTAGAGAGTATTCCTATTACCAGAAGACCAGACACTTTGAGGCAAGTGAATGCTCCACTTATAATGTGGTTTGTATTGTACTACACTTTGATACATGTGTGCACAGACAGACAGACAGACATAAATACAGATGGCATGACAACATTAGGTCCCATGCTTGGATTGTGTTTCATCTGTGTGCACAAACAGACAGACACGGCAATAGTTCCCATTCAGTATGTCTTTCTGTACATAAGTACATCAATATTGTTACAATGTTCTACTTTTAATGTTTTAGGTGTTCCAAACTGGACACATACTTGGAATACAAAGAAGCTGCAAGTGAATACCAGAAAGCATGGAAGTCTGTTCAGCAAGTCTTCACTACATGGGTGAAAAAACCTAAAAATTACTTGGAATTCTCATGTTAACGGACAACTGTCTTTTCAAAGTTCACAAAAAATATTGTTCAGATTTCAAGTTTATTCAAAGCGTATTAGTTATAGAGTGGAAAAGGTGTTCTTCTTGGATAGATTTCTGGTTTTAAAATTGCATTGTCTTCTGTATTTTGTTGAAAGCACTGAACATGCAAAGTAAATTGGATCCTGAACCATAATAGCTTCCACTTGGTACACATGTACTGAAACAGTGTGCCCCCATAGCAAGATCTCCCACATCCATACTTGGTACACATGTACTGAAACAGTGTGCCCCCATAACCAGATCTCCCACATCCATACTTGGTACACATGTACTGAAACAGTGTGCCCCATAACCAGATCTCCCACATCTATACTTGGCACACATGTACTGAAACAGTGTGCCCCCATAACCAGATCAACCACATCCATACTTGGCACACATGTACTGAAACAGTGTGACCCCATTGCCAGATCTCCCACATCCATACTTGGTACACATGTACTGAAAAAGTGTGCCCCCATAACCAGATCTCCCACATCCATACTTGGTACACATGTACTGAAACAGTGTGCCCCCATAACCAGATCTCCCACATCCATACTTGGTACACATGTACTGAAACAGTGTGCCCCCATAGCCAGATCTCCTGCATCCATACTTGGTACACATGTACTGAAACAGTGTGACCCCATAGCCAGATCTCCCACATCCATACTTGGCACACATGTACTGAAAAAGTGTGCCCCCCATAACCAGATCTCTGACATCCATACTTGGTACACATGTACTGAAAAAGTGTGCCCCCATAACCAGATCTCCCACATCCATACTTGGCACACATGTACTGAAACAGTGTGCCCCCCATAACCAGATCTTCCACATCCATACTTGGCACACATGTACTGAAACAGTGTGCCCCCCATAACCAGATCTTCCACATCCATACTTGGCACACATGTACTGAAACAGTGTGCCCCCATAACCAGGTCTCCCACATCCATACTTGGTACACATGTACTGAAACAGTGTGACCCCATAACCAGGTCTCCCACATCCATACTTGGTACACATGTACTGAAACAGTGCCCCCCCCCCCCATAACCAGATCTCCCACATCCATACTTGGTACACATGTTCCCATGCTATAACGCAACCTGGATAAGTGCAATTGAGACACAAGACTTGTTTTTTGCTCTTCAAATAATGGTTCATTTGTTCGTGTCCACTGTTTCGAATACCATGGCTACATTAGTCAGAGGAACAGCAGGCTTATTGACGGGAAACAATGAATGTATTATTCACTGGGTTTTAATTCCACCATTTTTACTGATAAGTAACTCATTGTATCCGTTTAACAAATTTGTGAAATTAAAACACTGAATATGCTCAAAACATCAAAATAATGAAATTAAATGTCAGTGAAAATAAATGACACAATGGCACTATATTCTATATGTATAGCAGTTTATTGACCCAAACCACATAGTTGAAAATTACTTAAACCCTAAAATGTACACAACAATGTATATATTAAAACAAATCAACATTACTGCTTCACTTTAATTATTTTTAAAATGATAATTATCTTTAAAACCATAGCGTCTACTTTTTTATCGATATTCATTAATCGTCGTCAAAATACATTTCCATGGTCATTATTCAGAATGCTAGTAACGAAAAGTGGGTTGAGCTGTCCAAAGTGCTTTAAACATTGTGTAATCAAGTCAATGTAAAAGTACAGGAGGGTGACAAGATCAAAGTTAAAGATTAGAGGTCGTTGCAAAGTGTGCGTTTCAATTTCATGTAAACAATGTGTTTTACACACATTGTAATGGACTTGTATCAGAACGTGATGTGATGACATCGCCCTTTAAGAATCTACAAGAAAGCACAGTAGTTTATGAATAGTTAAATGTAATTAAAATGCATTATAAGGTAAAGCTGCTCCTTTCAATGTAAACTAGGATCATAGTTTACCAGCTATTCAAAATTCCGTATTCTACATGTCACATCTAAAATAATAGATTTGTACAGTAAATGACAGAAACCTGGGGACATTATAAACATAAATCAAAATTCAAAAAAGCCATGCATGGCACAATCCCCGTTAGTTATCAAATTTAAGATATATAGTTTTGTTTATAGTAATATACATTGTAGCTGGAATATAACCATGTCGGGAATATGATATTTTAACATTAAAATGATTGACATTTGTATCTGATCGTCAAACAAGTACTTGTCCATATTGAGAGATATTGCTCTGGAACAGCATTCAAAATCAGCCATTTTGAATACATGTATATATATATAACATGATGTATAACGAATATATAAAATTTGAATATAATCAGTCAAAGCATTTAAGAGATATGGCTCTAGAAGCCCAATCATTAAAACGAAATGTCCGCCAGTCAGCCATTTTGAATCCGATCTGAAAAATAAATGATGTGCATCAGGAACCTGTAATGTCTAATATATGTACCAAGTTTGAACAAAATCCATTCATAAATGCCAGAAATGCTTGATATTTGATGATTTTTTAGCACAAAAATGGCCACCATTCGGCCATTTTGAATAGAATCGTCAAACCAATATATCTGTCTATCTATGACATGATGTATAATGAAAATTTAAAATTTGAATATAATCAGTAAAAACAAGTCGGATATATGGTCTAGAAGCCCATTCATTAAAACAAAATGGCCGCCAGACAGCCATTTTGAATCTGATCTGAAAAATAAATGATGTGCATCAGGAACCTGTAATGTCTAATATATGTACCAAGTTTGAACGAAATCCATCCATAAATGCTAGAAATTCTTGATATTTGATGATTTTTTAGCACAAAAATGGCCACCATTCAACCATTTTGAATAGGATCGTCAAACCAATATATCTGTCTATCTATGACATGATGTATAATGAATATTTAAAATTTGAACATAATCAGTGAAAGCAAGTCGGAGATATGGCACGAGAACCACATTCATTAAAACAAAATGGCCACCAGTCGGCCATTTTGAATCTGATCTGAAAAACAATGATGTTCATCAATGTCCTATAATATTGAACAAAATCCATCTGTAAACAGCCGGGAAATGCTTGCACGCACGCACGCACACAGGTCAAAACATAAGTCACCGTTTTCGGACTGCGTCCGAACGGGGACTAATAAGAATTTAAATTTACCAATTCTAAAATGTTATATTTTGACACAAGTATTGATTATTATTATTAATGAGCTACTTCAACATCATCCAATTAGAAAGTGTATTAACTTAAATAATTACGTCACATGAGAATATACATGCATTAAGTGGATATAGACTCATCACTATTATATATTTGAATGAAAGATGTGGATCTGTATTTACTGATTTTTATTATACACATGTTTATAAACTAAGGTACAGATTTCTGTCATTCACTGTAAAATACTATTTACATGGTAATTACCATACCTTGGGCTATACTAAACATACCACAGTGGTGGGATTGAGCTAATCGTTCGTTACCTCAATTTAAATGGGATCATGTACAGTTGATAATATATTGGTATCTAGTGGAATGTGAAAATAATATTTTTGAAATCCAAATATATGTGGATTGAGCACTCCAGAAATTAGTGAAATAAATAAAGTGCTGGTAGAAAGTACTACATTCATGTTTAACCCTTTGAGTTCAAAAGTAAACTTTTATTGCCATTCACAAATTACACCTCACATAATTTTTATTTTAAAATTCTGCTCAAGATTTGTTACCAACAGAAAATGATGTATATTTGGTCCAAAATTATCAAAAACAAAATTTTTTAAAAATGCATAAAAATAGACAAAATGTGGCACCAACATTTTGGCAGGAAAAATGTAGCACTCAAAGGGTGAAGGTTTTTACAAGTAGGAATAAATGTTATATGATACAAACATTTATTGACTGTGATGGCTTAATTTATTGCCCCTTGTATGGTTAACCTTTTCACCACCTTTTTTTTCTGCACTTTTTTTTATATTATTCTTTAATATTTCTGGAAGTGAACCTTTATTTTGCCGACAGACAAAATTTGATACACAATTATCAATTTTTACTCAAATAATTTGTCTGTTTTTGTCCCAGTCCTGTAAAGTACAGACTAAAAATGGGACTATTTTGTGATGAAAAGCGGCATCTGGTGGTGAGAAGGTTAACAGACCCTCACAAACTTGGGATCTTCTGAAATGCTAAATATTTTATTCAGTCAAAAATGATTACTATAATCTACCATAACCTGTGTTCTAATTAGTTGAAATTGAATATTCAGATTTGTTTAAAACTTACTGGTATGTAATATTTAAGATCAGTTAATAAATGATCACATTGGCATGCATCTAAAAAAACATTTATCTACGATGGTCTATATTTCTACATATACCTACCAGTTACCAGTATTAATCTATGAATAAAATCTGTCCATATACAGTATGATAAAAAGCCTGACATGTCAGTGATTCGTGTGTAGCTACACACAAATGTGAGCTTGAAAAATTGCAGTGGCAGTTTGTAATAGTGAGTAGAAGAAGCTTGCTTTTTATATCTCAATTTTACATTCAATTAGCATATCATAACAGGTGGAATACATGTACATGTAAAGTTGAATCATTAAACTAAAAATACTTCACTTTGCTTTATGTATATACGACACAATGGGGTGTATGTAAGCTATGAGATAAGAAATGTTTATGTGTAATTTGCATCTGAATTCTTGGCATCTGTCTGTTTTTAAAAAAAAAAGTCATTTCGTAATGGTGAGAAAATGTAAATGCTGCAGATTTTGGAGTAAGTTTTTGCTGTGACATAGAATAGCACAGAATGTGAGAATCTTTTGTCAAGCCGAAACGATCGAGTTTTCGAAAGGCAGTCCATTGCTGGGGTTTCATCTTCCGAAAGTGTTTTCACCACTATATGCAACGTATAGAAATTGATCTTCATCTTGGTGTTCTTCGTATATCTGACCCATAGTAGAACTGAAAAGTAACGAAAGGCGGTTGAAACATGTCGTAAGGAACAAACAATGAGAACATCAAAGATGTAACTCCTCCGTCCTGAGTGTCTATATACATGTTATAGCATAATTGTCAGTTGAGTTATACAGCACTGATTTATCTGACTGTTACATGGAGGTGTTAGGGTCGGGTAGCCAATCAGGCACAGCTGCAGGGCCGCCTAATTTTTGCTAAAACAATAACTTAACTTACATTCCTCTTGAGATTCAATCACCTTGCAGGAAATGACCACATTCATTGAGTAAAAAATAAAAATCTAGTGATCTTGTTCGATTAATAACTGTTGAGTTAATTGATTCATTATAACTCAATACCATTCAAAATTTAGTTTTAATGATGCTTGATCAAAGTCATTATTGACCTCGGATGTGCCTCATTTAATAATGTCTTATTTGGGACATTAAAATTAAATATTGAATGGAAGCAGTTTCAGGTCTCAAGTATGGACATTTAAAACCAGTAAAGCTCATTGTATTCAATTATTATTAACCTAAATGTGAATTTTTAAATGCATGAATATTTTACCTTGTCGTGGGCAAAACACGTTCAATGAAGAGAAAAATTGCTCTCTCAGGTGGAAGCTGAATTCTTTTACGAATAATCCACATGAACTGTGCAACAGTGATGTCTGCAGGTACTAGAAATTTTCTTTTATCAATGTCTGGAATTTGAGATTTGGGAACTTTTTCCACTACAACTGGAATGCGTTCAGGGTATTTAGCGCGGATTTTGGAAGCCTCTGCACGTCTTTGATCTGCAAACAAAAAATCAATTATTAATACTATAATACAACTCTATTTATAAAATTAGGAATATTTGAACACAGTAAAACCAGTCAAAACACCAAAGGGACAAAGAAAACTGTTTACTTTACACAGAGGTAATGGGACAGCTGCATTGATTACCAATTGACCTTGATGATTTAAATAACAGTCAACCATCTCAAATTAAATAGTCAGATTTTGACACCAAGTACAGACTTGAGGGTACTTCACACATATATGAAGACTGTTCACTGTTCATTTAATTAGTAAAATATCAGTATAGCTCATAATAGTGTAACAAGACACTAACTGAACATGGATTGAAAAGTAGGTCATTAGTTGCGTTCACGCACAGCTCCTTAGCACGGGCTAAGAGGTCAAATTCCCTAGCCCGTGCTAAGAAAACGTGCGTGAACGCTTAGCACGGGCTAAGGAATGCTAAGTACGGGTTAAATCTGACCCGAATTTAAGACGCGGTCTGGACTTTAGCACGGGCTAACGAAGTATGCGCGAACGCTTAGCCCAGGGCTAAGCGCCCTCTGCGGCGACCTTTGGGTGTAAAAATTGTCCCATGTTCGTATAACGACACTATTCCACCAGTCATTACTTTAAAATTAGAACGAAACATGCCAGCAGCAGAAATAGAACCTCGCGCATGTCATCCATTTTTCGTTCGTAAATACATGTAGCGGCTTACCAAAGGTCACCGACTAATGGCACCCCTTAGCCCGTGCTAACGACTGGCCCTCCCTGTGCGTGGACGCAATTGGGTCTAGCCGAAATGCAAATAGGCTAGATAAGCCTAAATCAGCTTAAATCTTAGCCCGTACTTTGTGTAACGTGAACACAACTATTAGCTGACCTACTTAGGATGTAAATAAAAATTTGAATGTGGATTATCAAGCATGAAAGTCTAAACATACACAGTGAGTACATGTTTTCTCAGCAAATCAAACATTTTTTGGGAGTGAGGCAAAAGAGAAACTAAACGAATTGCCAATTAACACCTCTTATACATAGAGCTTAATTAAATTGGGAACGACAATACAAATAAGACGTGAAATCTGCCCTCTGAAAAATTGTGTTTGGCAAGTGAACAAAAGAGCATGAATTCAGCAAAAATAAACCAAATTCAAAATTACTGCAGGCACTTGCAAAAACAAGTGATTATGATAGGTTTCCATTCATCACTTATAAAAACATTGATGCAATTGTTTTTGAGAGTTTTTCTAATGTTGGAAAAACAATTACATGTAGTTAAATTTAATGGATTATTTTTGTTATAGTTAGATTCACTTTGTTTTAGCATTTATTAGAAATAAATAAAGGTGAGTGATTACGTCATTACAGAATGAATTAGAATACTTGATGCCCCACCCATTTAATAATGTTAGGCTAAAATAGTCAAACATGGTATCTCAAAGTCATTGTACTGATTCACTTGTGATGATGACTCAGCCTCATCCCAAGTTGGTACAACAATGACATGTCATTGTCAAGATCGTGTTATGGCTGCAACGTTCAGATAATGTATTTGAATGTCAAATACTTTAGCACTGTAATATAACGAATCAAAACCCTTGAATCTAAAACTGGTACCACACTGGTAGTTAGTAGAAGAGTACACAATGCAAATAATACATTTTTTTCACTGTTGTTTAGGGCTATTTTGAGCAATGACACAACAAACAATGACGACACATGAAATGGCGAGTAAAATAACTGCATAGGTCACTAAAAAATTCCGAATTATAACAATTCTGAACCATGATTGTGGTAACCTGTTCATGTCAACGATGTTGTTTATACTTGTTTTTATAAATATCACTAGTAAGCTTATTGTCCGGCAGGTGACAATTTATGGCCGCCCACCGTTGTCCCTGCGTAGTTCGTTGCATAAATAATGAATTAGTCGTTCAGCCGACAGTGGAAGGAAAATGTTGAATATTCTCACCTATGCTGTGTTCTTCTTTGAACTGCCACTTCATTTTTTCAAACAAATTTACAAAAATGGTTAAAATTCTTCACAGTGTGTCGTTGACGCAGTAATAGAAATATCGAGTACGTTCGGGTGTTATGGCGCAATCTCAGAATCTGTAGGTTTGTTGTGTCATGTGATTAAAGGACTCCCAGCTGACCTTTAATAGCCGTCCCACAATGCCAAGCGGGCAATTACCAACAACCTCTACCAACAGAGCAATAACAGATTTACAAATTATGAACATTCTTCCTCAATAAATTGTTGATAGTCCTATAATACATTCTTAATAAATAATAATGTAATGTTAAAACTAAATTTTGCCATTATTATATCCATATGTTGGAAATATTGATACATGTATAAAACAACTGTGTACGAGGCGAAATGTTTTATTTGGCTCAAAAATCAAAATGGCTGTCTTTGAAGTATATTCACATCCAGTGGTTGTGCGGTACAGAGCAAGTATTTGCACAAAGACTACTATTTTTATGTTTATAGTATTTGGATTGACATTAGTAGTACCTTTTCTTGTAGCATACACCAGTGAAGGTAAGTATTTAGTGGGGGAATCGCGAACAAATAAAGTTAATCCGAGCTGTTAGTGTTACTGTTACATGTTTGTACACTGTACAGTGTAGTAACTATGGGATTCGGGCAAACCCACGGTACTGGCCCCGGCGGTGAAGTTACTTGCATGCTCAAACGGACGTGAAGCGCATCGCGTAGTGTCAGGTGTGGCTGTCAAGTACCACCACCTGGACTGTACATCAATAATAGAAGAGTTTATAAGTGTTAACCAGTCCTAGTCCCTCAACAAATAGTTTGTTACTGATGGAACTAATTTTTGTTTTCTGAATATGAACTGCTAGTACGTTCATGTTGCCATTGAGGGGTTTATGAATAGTTATCTTCCCATTGTGATAATTTTTCACAGAGGTTCAGCTGAAGTGAATGGTTGTCACATCGAGGAGACAGATCTTCATATACCCTGAAGCACAAGTAAAACACTGTTGTGGTTTTCTGCATCTGTATTGATGATAATGTTTGTTTCGATTATCAGCTATTGAGTGTGATGTAAGTGTGTTTGTACTGTCATGGAGGTACTGTTAACATTTTGCATTTCAAAAAATACAAATTCACTCAAAATTCAGCAGCCGGCATGGTGTTTGTGTAGTCTGTTCCTACGTGCAGATTCCATTATTAGTGATGCTGTGATTTGTATTGAGCACTGAAATCAACCACTGGGCAAACACATCACAAGGACGTTGCATTATCTCCTTCACATGAATTTTCACTTTAGATGTCAAATAATAGTCCAAAAGAACCAATAATTATAAAAGTAATTGAAACCATTATATGGTTAGAATTCTGAATCCAGAGTGTTGATCAAATTAAATCTTTTCCACGTGGTAAAACAGCCATGGGGAGAATGCTGCTTGCTCACTGTTTTGAATGGTATTTCTTTATGTATTTTTTGTCAGGTTTTTGGGTTAAGCAGAGTGTTTATCTTGAACAGCCATATGTTTCTTACAAGCATCAACTGTTGATGGTCTTGGAGGGTACCACAGCTACTGAATACTTGGTATGGAGTACATACCATAATTATAATATGTTAGAACAGCAACGACTCAGAATACCAATTGTTAAGGTTTGTGATTTGATATTATGAGGTTATTATGAGAATACCGCAAAATATGCACAAAGGCAGCACAGAGATCATATCAACTGATGCATAGTAGAGGTTAATATACCCTTTACTGCCTGGGTGCATACTTTAGAGTATTCTTGTGATAACCACATTGGTATACCTCTTTTTGGCTCTCATGTGTGAAGCACACACTGGGAGCCTTTGTAGTTAGTCATTTGTGTGTGTATCTGTGCAGATATTTTGTTGCACCAATATCTTGAAAATACTTCTATGTTGATGAAATTTGGCTCAGAGATGAAAAATACACCATGCATATCACCAGCAGGGTAATTACAATAAAAAAAGGAAAATAGTGAACACTAAGGTACATTTGTATCTATTACTATTGTATCTCCAACATCCTCACTGCTGTACTTAACTATGTGCAATACCATCTAATGTTTTGTCAAGCCCAAATTTCTTCTTTCATAAGTATTGCTGTCCATTGAATTAACATACAGGAACCTTTTCTAAGCTGTTTTTGATTCCTGATTGTAGTAATAATTTAATGAAAGATTATAGCCAAAGATGTTGACAAAAATGTTTTCTGCTGTGCATTCAGTGACAGGATTTTATTTCCATTACAGATGTGCAATTTTTTTATTTTATCGTATCTTTTTTTACTAATCATGTAATTTTTGTCTTGTTGTATAACGTTGTCACATATTCTCAGCTTATGAGCAACAACAAACTCCTGCCCAAAATTATAATGCATGGAGAATTGGACACTCTCCAGCAGTCACTTTCCTGTTTAGCTATGAAAAGATCACCAACATGCATAATCTACATTGTAGGCATTGTGGGGTTACTAGAAACACACGATCATTTTGATGGCTAATCTATATTCATGCATTGTTTTGTTCTCTTTGCAGTCTCGTGAAGAAGATACTAATCGAGATGGTAAACCAGATAAATTGTTGATCAATATCGAGACTCCAATGTTGGACACTGAACAGGTCTATTCTCTGCATCTACTTGTGATCTTTGAGTATCAGTTATTTGTAAGTATTAAATATGAAATTCAATATCTATGTTAGGTATATGTAGGCCTGAGTGAGTTGGTATAGAACACTGCACTGAGAACACTGCACCAAGAAGACTGCACTGAGTACACTACACTGAGAACACTCAACTGAATTTCTATCCTATTTTTCTATGCAGAGATTTAGTAGTTTAACCATGGAGAGTATGGCATATATCCATTACAACTCTCCCAGACCTGGTGCTATGTTTACTGTTGATGGGGAATTGCAATTTAAGCAGAATTATCCACTACCACATCGAGGGATAGTTGACACATACAATGTAAGTATATTATGTATTCTTTTGTGCTCTTATTCTTACTACCGTATTACCCCGGGCACGCGCCCCTCCCTGGGCAAGCGCCAACCCCCCTGTTTTCACAAAAGTTACATGTTGGGGACATCCTCAGTTAAATGCCCAGGGTGATTTTTAGCCAAGAACGGGGTCAACAATAAAGTTTTATTTGTCAAAAACAAACGCGTTTGATTTATTTAAATAGTGTGTTACGGTAGTTCTCTTTTGGGAGTGGGTGGTGGACCTGAAAAGGGCCGTTTTGTTTGTGTTTTTATGTAAAAACTCATTGGAACTTAACGACGTAAGATGAACCACGCAGCATGTGGCGCACACATTCTGCTTTCTCTTCATTCACGATGAATCCAATATTGCAATAATTCATACCTTGGTGAGTGGTTTGAAGCACTTAGCTTTGGTTTCAAAACGTAGCACTTCGCTGACTGTGCAACCAAATTTGCTGAGTTCGCAGTTTTTCGCCGATAAAAAATAACATTCCGGAGGGGGTGAAACGAAAGAGCATTGCCAGGAGATGGACGCAGGGCTTTTTGGCAACGACCGCAAACGTATCTGTGTCCAGCCATTGGTTGGCCACGTAGAAGTCAAAATACGCGTTTTATTTTTACGCGTTAAGTTTGGCTCTTCCGTTTCACCCACTCCGGAATGTTCTACTTTCGCAGCCTAATCGCAGGTTTTTCAAAAAACGTCGAAAAAACACAAGGATTAGT